ATGCTGGCTGGGGAATTCTGGGAGTCGAAGTCCCCTCATCTTAAAGTGGCCGAGGTTGAGGAACGCTGCCTCGGCAGCTTGCCGGGCCCTCCTCAGTGGACAGCCCTCATGAGGGTTACATGAGGCGCGCTTTGATGCTCTTTTGCGTGACGTTGCAGAACTGTAGCCCATTTGCCTTGGGCTTTATTGCAGAGAAGGCTGCTGTTTCCTGCGCCAGCGGCCAGATCATAATGGACTTTTTATCATAAAAATGCCTTTCTCTATTTCTAACAATGAAGCAAACTTGCTTTTTTTTTTTTTTTGGGCAACGAACGCTCGATTGGCCGGACCGGTCGCCTGCCAGAAGCCCAGCTCCTTTCCTGCTTGGGGTCTGCTGAATATCATGCCCGTCTGGTGAGCTCTAAGTCCCCTCTGCTCTCTCTGCAGGCTGACCGTGCTAGACACCTACTACATTCCCAAGGATGGCAACCTGAACTCGTACAGGGAATACATCAGCCTGCTGCCGGGCATGGATCCTCCAGAGGCCTTTGGCCAGCACCCCAACGCTGACGTGGCTTCGCAGATCACGGAGGCCAGGACACTCTTCGAAACCCTGCTCTCCCTCCAGCCCCAGACCACGCCCACTGGGGTGGCTGGGCAGAGCCGCGAGGACAAGGTACCAGCCTCTTCCTGAAGTCCCGCTTGGCGCCACCTGAGCTGACCTGGGCCAACAGCAGACTTTCAAGGTCGACCTTCTTTGTTCTGATCCTCAGGGCAATCCTGGGGCTCATTCCTAGCAAGGGAAATTCCTTCCGCCAGAGAGCCCCCCCCCCCCCCACTTCTCGCTCTGCGCGTAGGGACAGCTGATCTCGCACACACTCAGATGCGCTTCTGAGATCACGGCAGCCCCGGGAGCTGAAAGGTGCTATCAGCAATGCGTGTTCTCGTGGCACGGCCCTCCTGTTTGCATGAAGCCAAAGCCTATTGCTGCAGATGTCAGAATTCCCTGTTATTCTCCTTGAGATCATGGAGCCAACCCCTGCTTAGTGCAGGCATCCAAAGCTGAGAGCCGACAGATGGTCGTCCCACTTGACTCCAGTCCATCCAGCTGAAGAGAGCCCAACACCTTCAAGTTGCTGGCTCCTCTGCTGAACTCTCCTTGGTGGAGAGCTAGGAGTGGACAAGACGCCTTCCTGCAGAAGGTCTCTCTTCACCTTGTGCTCTTGTGCCCCCCCCCATAGGTGCTGGAGCTCTCATCCGACGTGCGCAGCAAGATTCCAGAGGAGATCGACTACGAGGGCACCTGCAAGGTGCTGTCCACCGATCCCTCCCCTCTCAATGTGGTCTTGTTGCAAGAGATCCAGCGCTACAACTCCTTGCTGCAGATCATCAGGTGAGGGGGCACCCAGGAATTCCAGCCCAGACACATTCCAGTCCCTCCCTCTTGTGTGGGGCGGCGAGGTTCTGGGTCTCCGGTTAGCAAACCCACCACGGAGCATCGCTGGGTCAGAACATCAGAGCTTTTCCCAAACTCACTGTGGTAGTTCCTCCAAAGAGAACTGGAGCTTGGGCTGCAGGTGTCCTGAAGTGAGAACGGCCTCTTTCAGCTGTGAAACAGAGGCCAGGAAGGCCTGCTTGGGGGTTGGATTACTCCTGGAGAACTGTCGCAGGGCTCTTAACGCTTAGAACAATCCCTGTCCGCATCTGCTCTCCAGAGGCTTAGGGACGTGTGTGTCTCTAAACTGGCCCCGATACGGAAATGCTCAACCGGACCTCAGAATCTTTCCAAGGTGGCCAACGCAACTTTTAGTATGATATAAGGAGGAAATGATTCAACACGCAAGGAATAATAACAACTAATTTTAAAATGAAATTTTAATTTAAACATAATCAAATTTAATGAAAAAGAATGCTTGGAACGATGAATTGAAAGTGGCTGTGGATGACAAAAAATGCAGAGAAGGGAAGGTCGTATAACGTGCAGAGAGGGAAAAAGGTCGCTGCAAAGAATTTCGTCAAAAAGAGCAAGATTCAATGAGGCAGAGAAAATGCAGAGCAATCTTGTTGGAAATAAATGCTGGTTTTGGAGTGGGCGAAGAGGAGTCTCCAGCAGAGTGAACAGAATCAGAAAAGCGGTGCAGTGAAACCGAAGTAAGGCAATGCTGAAAGGAGTATTTTAGAGATGTGTATGGAAAGAGCGGTGGTACGTCAGTGGAACTGAAATGAATGCTGTACGCATTGGTGCTCAAGAAAAACAGATGAAAAGGAAATAATAAATGCCGTGAGAATGTTGAAAAATGGAAAGGCCCACGGTATCGTTGGAGAAAAGTTAAAATAGGGATGCTTAGTCTGTTTAGTGTATCTTGTTGAGTATGTGTGTGGATGATGAAGTGAAAAGGCTGAGGATGGGGAAATGCATACTAGACACAGATTGCTGCAAAGACGAGGAGGAGAGATGCTGTATAACATGCGGAGAGAGACTGTTGCAGAGAATGCCCCCAGCGCGAAGCTTAAGACTAAGCGAGACAGAGAAAAGGCAGCGCAATTTTGATGGAGATAAAAGAATGGCAGAGCTTCAGATGCAATGCTGCGGTCGCCATCTTGACTTTTTTGACCCCACCCTGTGGGCGCCCCTGCCCCATCCTGTTTCTTCTTTGGGGACCATGGCCCTCAGCATGCTTGGTCCCCCCTGGCCTAGAGTGTCCCCCCCCCCCGCTCTGACGCCTGCCGCCCCTTGCAGCTCATCGCTGGTGGAGCTGGAGAAAGGCATTCAGGGCCTGGTGGTCATGTCAACGGACCTGGAGGAGATCTTCAACTGCATCTTTGATGCCCGCGTGCCCCCCATGTGGGAAAGGGTAAGGGGCCTTCTCTTTCCTCCTCCATGCTTGTTTCGTCTTGTGGGGCAAGGGGAGAAATGCCTTGGCAATGTTCCTGGGGGGTCCCCTCTGCCCTACCACCTCCTGCTCTGCAGGCAGAGAGGCCCTGGTCGCTCCAGAGCCCCTGCAGAGGGGAAGGCCCCGTGCCAGGAAGGAGGTAGCCCCAGCCTGCTGCTTCCAAAGTGGGATCCCCCGCCCGGCACCTGCAGCTGGCGTGGGGATTGGCACCTTCTCAGCTCTCGCCCACCCCCCCTTGCAGGCCTACCCCTCCCAGAAACCCCTGGCCGCCTGGACCCGGGACCTGGGCCAGCGCGTGGAGCAGTTTGGCCGCTGGGCGAAGACGGCTCACCCGCCCGTGCTCTTCTGGCTGTCGGGGTTCACCTTCCCCACCGGCTTCCTGACGGCCGTGTTGCAGGCAGCGGCACGCCAGAACAATGTACGAGGGGACGCAGGGGGCAGTGCGGGGCAGCCCGTGGGGAGGGAGGCCGGCCGGGGGGCCTGGGTGGTGCATCCTGCCTCTTTTCGCAGATCTCCGTGGACACCCTTTCCTGGGAGTTCATCGTCTCCACCGTGGATGACAACAACCTAGTGTACCCCCCCAAGGTAAGTGGCCCCCTCGCCACCCCCCGGCAGAAGGTGGCCTCCCCGGCCCGCCTTCAGCTTCGTGCCCTGTTCTTCCCGGCAGGAGGGCGTGTGGGTGCGGGGCCTCTGCTTGGAGGGCGCCGGCTGGGACAAGAAGAACTCCTGCCTGGGGGA